GCTACTGAAAAGGTTAATATAACTCCATTTGGGAATGAAGAGGTTAATGTAACTTCATTTGGAAATGAAAAGGCTAATGTAAACTCCCTACTCCCCTCCTGGGCAAGGTCACCAGGTGGAATCAGTATCAGAAGGATACTGCCTCCCTCCTTCACTTCTAGGCAAGGACAATTAGCTCAGAAGGAGCCAAACTGTCTGGAACAAACAAGTAGCCCCCCCCCAGGGTCCCTAACCATAAACAGCTCAGCCCATAGCCCATACTAACCCCCTCTCCGTTAATGGTGTACCGCTTTACCAATGTTAAAATCTGGTCACCTTAAGTATAGGTGTCGCCATTTACACTGGAATTGAGGGAAGGGGAGCCTGGGGTCTTCCACTCACCTTTGAAGTCCTCTGTGGTGAGCGTCTTCAAACTCTATCTGGCAGATTTTGGTTTTAGGAGTTATGGGGAGGCCCATACAAGATAGAGGGCAAAATCACTGTTTTTAGGTAGAATAGATTAAATCTGCCACCCAGGACAGGATAAACAATATCTGAGAGGGGTCCCTAAAGGAATAATTTATACCTAGCATCCCTAATAGTAATCTTTGTCCCTTTTTAATTTTTATGATATTCAGCATCACAAACTGACAACTATAGCTGGAGTCAAATACTGAAATGGGCAAATTATCTTTTTCTAGAAGGAGAATTCCAAGTCTACCATGACTATGCTTTTTGCCTTCACAATAAATGTGGAATGATACAATTGATTCCAGTTTTCCTCAGTAACTATTTATCATTTATCTGTAACCTGAGCTAGCTCTGCACTTCTGCAAGATTCTACATGAAAATTAGGTGAAATCTCTTTTTCTGATTTGCACATGTCATTTTAAACTATTTTTTCATTATTATTTATCAGGAATACACTGTGAAGAAGACATCAATGAATGTTCTTTGAACCCTTGCCAAAATGGTGGTACTTGTGAGAACTTGCCTGGGAATTATACTTGTCATTGCCCATTTGACAACCTGTCGAGAACATTTTATGGAGGAAGGAACTGTTCTGATGTCCTCCTGGGCTGTACTCATCACCAATGTCTAAATAATGGAGTGTGCATCCCTCATTTCCACGATGGCCAGCATGGATTCAGCTGCCTCTGTCCCCCTGGCTATACCGGATCCTTGTGTGAAACTATCACTACACTGTCATTGAGAGGCAATGGCTTCCTGTGGGTTCCAAGTGGCTCAGTGACAACCAAGGCCTCAATTTGTAACATAGCCCTCAGTTTTCAAACTGTTCAACCAACGGCACTTCTACTTTTCAGAGGTGACAAGAACACCTTTGTGAAGCTGGAGCTGCTAAGTGGCTACGTTCACTTATCAGTTCAGGTCAATGATCAGCCACAGGTGCTTTTGTACATCTCCCACAATACCAGTGACGGAGAGTGGCATTCAGTGGAGGTGACGTTTGCAGAGGCTGTGACCCTCACCTTAACCGACGGCTCCTGTGAGGACAAATGCATCGCTAAATCTCCTCCATTCGAAAGCAATCGGTCAACATGTGCTTTTCAGAACTCCTTTTTGGGTGGTTTACCAGTGGGGACGACCAGCAATGGTGTTGCTCTGCTTAACACCTATAATATACCATCATCCGCCTCGTTTGTGGGCTGTCTCCAAGACGTTAAAATTGATGGGAATCCCATTACCCTGGACAATGTTTCATCCGGCTCGTCATTAAACGTCAAGACAGGCTGTGTGAGAAAGGATTGGTGTGAAAGCCAACCTTGCCAGAGCAGAGGACGCTGCGTCAACTTGTGGCTGAGTTACCGGTGCGACTGCTACAGGCCTTATGCAGGCCCCACTTGTCTGAGAGGTGAGGGGCAGCCAGGTGCTGGGAGCGAGCACTGTGCCTCACAGCAGAGCAGAAACAATAAAACTGGCCAGACTGCTTCTGCCTGCTCTGACACATAGTGACCCCTCAGGACCTCTGCTGCTGGTTGCTCACTGATGAGAAAGAAAGACGAGGGCAATGATGTGCATTAATTAATTCTGAGTGGATTCACAGGACATGGGAGCATCACTTATACCGAGAAGTATAAAAATAGGCAGATGGCTCCTTTCCAAATGGGTTTTCACCTTGACATTACAAAACAGTATTACAATTTTACCATTTGTTGCACATCATAAATTTGCCATAAATCTTATTTAAAAGACTATCGTTTGAAAAGAGGGACTTTTAGACTCAAAACTTGTCAATACTACGTACTAGCACACTATTTTGTGCATAGCAGATCCTTAGTAAATATTTACTTTCTTGCTCTCCTTTCTATGCCATTCACACTTTAGCACTTTTATAAAAACACTGGTTTTATTTAAAGATATCTTTCCTGGGGTTCCATTGGAGAAAATGAATATTCTACTTAGATGTTAAGGAAAGGAAGAAAAAAGAAGTAAAATGTGAATGATAACAGCAGTAAAACTTGGTAGAGGCTATAAATGAATGATCTAATTTCTCCAGCAAATCACAATGTGGGAAGTATTTCCACATCCTTAACTTCCAACATCGTTCGAAGGATTCCTGTTGATGGTGATTGATACATACCTGTTTCATTTTATTATGATCAGCATGCATTTAAAAAGTCGGGGAGGTAATTGTAGCAGACTGCTTTGAAGTTCAGCTGTAATTTACCCAAAGATTTTAGAGTAACTTGAAGTAGGACAGCTGTTAAATAGTCTCCTCTGCTTTATATGAAGTAAAATTAAAACCAGTCTTAGCCTATACCCTACTCCATGTTCAAATGGCTAAGAATTATTAGAAACTAGTCAGGGGTTTCCCCCGACCACAATATTCATTACAGATCATGGACCTGCTTGACAATGAGGTATGGCACCTACTAGCTCCGTGTCATATTTTAAATGGAATGGCAAGTTCTGTTGTGATTTTTTTTTAAAAGGAGAAAAGGGGAAATTATGCCGAGGCAATGTTCACTTTTTGAAGAAAAATTTAATTGACCCAAGGCAATATTTTTACTACATATACAAAATAACAAACAGATGCTGACTCATTTTGACCGGCTTCCAGAGGCAGTGACCCCTGAGGTTGATACCGACCGGGGTGATGCTGACTGTCCAAGGAAGTACATTCAACAGGGATCAGTACAGTGAGGTCTGCTTTTCTTTAGTTTGTTATTTCCAACCTGGAAAATCATGAACTTTTTTAAACCAAGTTTCTGAGTTGGTGACCCCTCCCTCCGCGTCCCCTAGTTGCCTTGCTCCCCCACTCTATTTGAAACTGTGTGACCCTCATGGCTTCAAAAGACTACTTTGGAGAGAGGGAGTTCTGCACACTTTTTTCTTGCTGAAAATTCTTGGCATAAACTGAAGAGACATTCTATTTCCATATCTCCTCTTTATCATAAAATTAAAATAGTCTGTCTTTTCTGTTATCTATGAAGACTGCTTTCAGAAAGTTTATTCCCATTGCAAATGAAGCTTAAGAGGAGTAATGAGAACATGGAGTCTTTCTGCCATTGTATAACATGTTTGTATTCAAGAGACAGGAGGCGTACTCAAAAGCACAAAACTTCATCCAAGCCGTAATTTGGCCCAATGTTCCCCAGCCATGGCACATGTTGAACAAGCAGACCCTTTAGGGGATTGAGTTGGCTGACTAAACATGAAAGACATAGGGATTTTCAATGTCTTAAAGTTGATCTTCTTAAAAATCATCTAATATCTCAATGAAAAAAGGTTTGAGAAGAATTTTCTTAAGCTTTGTTTGCAGAATGGTATGTGGAGGTTATCTCAGTATATCTTGTTTTGACTATGTATAAAAACACAGAGATTTCAATATTCAAGAATATTTGATTTATAGAAGCAATTTACCTATGTTTTATCTTCAGCCATACACCTAAGACTTTGAGAATCTTGTCCTCCTAAATCACAATTTCTTAGGTATAGAAGGGCTTCGGTTCCCGACTGAATTTTTTTTATACTTTGTGCCTGCTAAGTGTAGCGGCCCAAACCTCAGCTTAAACACTGTTAGGAGTGCAAAACTCACTCCCTTCACCTTGCCAAAAATCTCCTCCCAATTTCTGTCCTTATATTTGAACAAAATATGATTTGCTCATAGCTTTCACTGACTGGCTACACTTTAATTCTTTAAGACCTGAAATAAAAATGTTAACATCTCTTCTTATGAACGCTTACATGTTTGAAGGAAAGTGTCCTGAGCCACCCAAGCCATCATTTCTATCATGTTAAATGTCCCTGGTTTCTCCCAAAGTTGTCATGTGACAGTTTTCAGTCACTTCATCAGCTGCTTGCTCGCTGTAGAATATAAACATTTGTTCATCTGTATCCCTTCTAAAATGTGGTGCCTGGATGGTACAGGGCATACCCTACCTCAGGACACAGGACTAGATCCCGTATGTATCATCCTAGATAACGGGCTTTCATTGTGCAGCCAGCCTGATTGACTTTTGGCCAGCTGTATTTCATGACTGTCTGATTTTAAGTCATTGTCACTCCCAGTGTCACATAGTCCTGTTTCTCCCACCCTAAACCTATGAGGCCCATTTAAGTCTAAGTGGTTCTTATTTTTTCTCATGAAATTCCATCTTGTTATCGTTAATCCATCGTGAAAGCTTGCCAGCATTGTTTTTCATCTGTAGATGTTACCGATCTTCATAACATCGCAACAACGGGTGTGAGAATTATCCCTTCCAAGCCCACAGCCAAGTCATATGAGGCTCACGGTGTTTTCTCAAATCATGTAGCAAATCACACACACTGACTCCTTGCTTGTGATTTCTAAAGAATACGATTGCTGAAGAGTCAAGCTCCTGGGGGGAGGGGCGTCTATGTTCTTTTAATACAGATCAAAAAGTGATGCTAAAGGCATCCTAGGATGACCAGCAGGCACCCGCCACCCCTGAGGTTGAGGGATTCTGTGTATATTTTCAAACCTCAGGGGTTTTAAGAGGCAATTTTTCTTATTAAGCATTTTATCTCCTATGAAAGTGCTGCAGTGTATTCAGTGATGTTAACCTCTTCAAAGGGGTTATTTTATCTAATGGTATACTTTGAAAGCTACCTGTAGTTGCCTGGAGCAGATGCAGTATTCTTATAGGAATCAAGTCAGAGTTCTGAAAAGGTAGCCTTTTCTGCAGAAGGCCATCCATCACAGATGATTTCCTAAGTAATTTTTCCTAAGTAATTACTTCAGCTAAACTAATGCATCTTATCTTTGTCCCAGGTTCAACTTGACCACATGATGACATTCAAATGTGTTTGCAATATGCTCTTTTTTTTTCTTTTTAGGATTGAAAGGTAAAAACTTGAAGATCGTACTATCTTTAAAATAGTAATATTTTCAAATTATCAGTTATTTCTAGATTGCAAAATACAATGGTCGATTCTCAGTTCTCATCTTATTTGACCTCTTAGGAGCAGTTAACACAGCTGACCACTCCCTCCTTCTGACCACTCCTTTCTCTTTAAAGTTATGGGACCTCACTCTCCCTGGGTTCTCTTTTATCTTACTGGATGGGTAGTTGAATTCTCCTTTCTGTTATTCACAGGGAATAATTAAATTTAATGACAAGTTTGCTTCACCGTGCCTTCAAATAGCAAAGGTTACGACTGCCTGAAAAGGCTGCTGATAGAAGTTGCATGAAGTGTTTTCCCCGTCAAATTTCTTCCACCAAGTTGGAGTAATGATATTCCCACCACCGAGTCTCAGAATGTTAGAGCAGTGAAGGGGAGGTTCTTTAGTGTATCAATGCAGAGATATGCTTTGCCTCAGTTTTTGATCATTGGACCTCACCTATAAGCTATGAACCAAAATGTAGTTATTTGAGGGAGAAAGTAAACTCAGAAAATGAGGGCAAATCATTATTCTCTTGACTAAGACTTCCTTGAACTTTAAAAAAATATGTAGGAGTATGTATGTGTGTACAAAATTGTCATGTGTGTGTACAAAATTGTCATTTTCTGTCTCTTCTTACTTTTGAGTCTTAAGGTGTTTCTCTCCCTCCCCTCCCCTATTTTGACATTGAAGAATATGTAGCTGGCAGATTTGGCCTGAATGACTCTACTGGATACGCTGTCTTCAGTCTTGATGAAAACTATGGGGAGAACTTCAGCCTCTCCATGTTCGTCCGAACACATCAGTCGTCAGGCTTACTTCTAGCTTTGGAAAACAGCACTCATCAATTCATCCGTGTGTGGATAGAGCATGGCAGGCTGGCAATGCTGACTCCAAACTCCCCCAAATTAGTAGTGGAGTTTGTTATTAGCGATGGAAATTTCCACTTGATATCCTTGAAGATCAAGCCGAGTAAAATTGAACTATATCAATCTTCACAAAACCTAGGATTTATTTCTGCTCCTACATGGAACATTCAAAGAGGAGATGTGATCTATATTGGCGGGCTACCTGACAAGCGCGAGACTGAACTTCATGGTGGGTTTTTCAAAGGCTGTGTCCAAGACATAAGGCTAAACAATCAAAATCTGGAATTCTTCCCAGATTCAACAAATAATGAATCTATCAATTCAATTCTTTTTAATGTGACCCAAGGCTGTCCTGGAGACAACATATGCAAGGTAGGATTATTCATACTAACTGAATACTTACTAGATGTTCAACTTTTATATTATTAAATAGATTATTTATTTTAAAGCCATTCCTTGTATATGACGATAATATTACTGAGCCTTCAAACATAGAATAAAGCTTCTTGTATATTTTCCCAGCAAGACTGGGCAATTTACATGAAGCTACAGAAATAAATCTTGATCTTCTTGACATCATAGTCCATTTAACCAATCAAGATAAACTGAGCTCCAGGGATCTCCTACCCTCACAATAATCAAATTACTTAACAATAATTTGTTTTAATGCCTAACCTCTTAATGACATCTCAGAGGCTTAACTCACTAAAATTTTAAAGGAAGATACCATTATGTTTCTCTTAAATGTTAAACTATGGTTTTTATCTTCTATTAAGTCAACAAGAAAAAAATCTGAGAAGTACTGCCCTTCTAAAATCTTCTGAAATATAATTTCGCAGAGCCCATGCTTTATTTTAAATAGTTCATATGCCCCTCTAAGATCGGCTTAAATATAAGAAATTGTCAACCTTGCATGACCTTCCAAAGGAAAAAAAGGGAAGCATATCTATATATGTCTCCAGCTATTGCCATACTTTACAGTTGTTTCTAAACATAAAACAAATGAATCATTGTCACATCATTATAGGAACACTTACAATGTGCCAGAGATGATTTCACATTAATTAATCCATTGAATTCCCCTGAAGGACTACGATTTAGAGTAGGCATTATTGTTGCCTCAATTTACATTAGGTGCAGATAAGGAAACTGAAGATTAGAAAGGTTATATTACTAGGCTAAAGCACACGTTAATAGTAAACCCGAAACAAATACAGTCCAGGCTCTAATGAATTCTTTTTAAATATTTTTTTTATTTTGAATCCTTTGTGAGCCATCGTATAAGGACTCAAAAAATAGTATGCTTGTGATTCGGTGGCAGAACAATCATTGGGGTTAGGGGGTATCAGTGAATTAAGACTCAGAGGATTCAGTACTAAGTTTCACTACTTCACTTCTTTGTAGAATCTTGGGCAATTGCCAGGGTCTTGATTTCATCACGTGTACATATACATAATAACTTCTACCTAAAATGACAATTAGTGTGTGTGAAAAAGTGGCTAGTAAATTGCACAGAATATTATTACATTTTTAAAAATCCTCCTTGTGTGATAGGTCAATTATGTATATATTTTTTTCTCTCTCTCTCTCTTCCTCTTCTTTTAGAAAGGAGATTGCAATGGTAGTAATCAGTTTCATTCTGTGTAATTAGCAATGGATAGTAAAAGTTCAAAATGAAAAGACATTGAAAAATTAGCATTTTAAAATAACAGGTGGCCTCACCGTCAGCATTTCATATTTAGTTGCCTGTGCCTTTGATGCCTTCAATTTCTTTTCTGCTCAGTCCAACCCCTGTCACAATGGAGGTGTCTGCTATTCCCTGTGGGATGACTTCTCATGTTCCTGCCCTGCAAACACAGCTGGGAGAGCCTGTGAGGAGGTGCAGTGGTGTGGACTCAGCTTGTGTCCTCCTGGAGCCCAGTGCACGCTGGTGCCTCAAGGGTTTGACTGTAAGTAGAGTTCAAACCTGTCATCCATCTGATTAAGATGGGACATTTTATTTGTTCCAAGAAGAAACACAGAAAAAGAATATAGACAAAACCATCTTATTAATATATCTGTGGCTGTTTCTTCTGTGTGAGCAGGTTAAACCTCAGATGAGTAGTGTAACAAACCAGACGGACCTCTTGCCTCATGCCGCCCAGAGTGTGTCTGGATGGGAAATGGAGGTGATAGCAGGACCAAACCTAGTTGCTTGATCATTTCAAGCTGATTTCTCAAGAAACAATTAATATTTTACTTTCTTTTCCTCACTACTGAGAATACAAAATAAATGTACTACTGCTGGCATGCTGTCATTTATTAGCTGTGAGCTCTCAGGAAATTCTTGTGATCTCCCTAATGTCCAGCTCCTCAACTACTATATTCACAATTTTGACATATCCATGTGCTAACCACACTGCATTATATGCGTAAGTGTAGTCTGTCTTTCTTATTTCAAATGGTGTATAGTCCAATCAGTAGCCAACCCTTTATGTTGGCACTCAATTCTAATATCTTCCCCTTATTCAAGGACTTTGCTCCTAAAACTTTTCTCTTGCTCACCATCAACATCAATTTTCCCATGAGCCTTTAAGCTTTCCATCATATTCCCACGTTATGAAAAATTTCCCTTGACTCTCCCCACAACTGCCATCCACAGCAGGGGTCATCCCTTTTTTCTACTTACTTCCTTTTATAGTGAGGAAAAAGCCCTCTAAAGTGGTGTCTTCAGTGTGCTTCCAGCTCTCACTACGTTCTCTCTTTTGCTCTACTCAATCTGGCCCTAACACACCATCACCTCCACCTTGAACTCTCTTAACCCAGAGCCTCACAGGCTACCTCCATCACTTCCTCTGGGTTTCTACTCAAATATCTCCTTGCTTGGCTTCATATTTCTTTATATTGCATATTATGCCTTAATATTTTAATATATATATATATATGTTTATTATATCTTCTCTCACTAGAAGTTTCACAGGCAAGGAAATTTTCTATTCTGTTTTTCCCATTACTGTTAGCCCTCAGAATAGTGGCAAACATACACAGTAGAACCTTCCTCATTTAACCACCTCCTTAAATTGACCTAATTTTTATGAACCAGACGTGCACCACATGTACGTATCAGTACAGTACAGTAGACCACTTCATATGTTGACCAATTCAGTCCAATCCTTTGGGTGGTCAACTTACAGAGGTTCTACTTTTGTAGGCTGTCAATAAATGTTTGTTAGGTAAATAAATTGACTTATTATTTTTTTCAAATAAACTCAGTATTTTCATTTAACTATTCTAGATGTTAAGTACATTATCTGCTTATAATAAAAACATATATAAAATACCTTAAAAAACATTGTACTAAAAATAACAAAATGGAACTAACGAATAGATTGTCCCAAAGTCGGTAATGACAACATCCTATTTAGATTGAGCCCCACGGTAACTGAGGAAAAGGGAAAAATACATTTACTTTTATGTTTATATATTTTAAAAAGCTGTATAAAATATAGTGCACTATATATACTCATGGGAAAGTTTTCTATAATAAAAGACTATATATGTATATGATTTTATGTTTTATACTTAAGAGAATAGACCACACATGCCTAGAAAATATGATGGCACAAAAATGTTAATCTGGTTTCTAATGTGGCACAGAATTTTCTGTGTAATCTTTTTCATTACTCTATCTCTGAACTACTTGCTTCAAATGATTTATCAATTATTAATTTATTGTTAATTTTTTTGATAGAAATGCGAAAGTTACTAGTCCTCATAATGTTCTACAAAGGAGTTCAAATCATTTTAAACATTTTCACAGGGAAAAAAAGAATAAGATTTCTAAAAACCGTGGCAGCCCAAGGACAGCATCCCCAGTGCAGGGTGCTCTGCGGGGTAGACGTAAAGCAGGTTAGGACTGGGTCACACACACACATCAGAAAGAAGTGAGGTGCATCTTACTGTTACAACATTGCCACTAGAAAGAGAGTGGGAATTCTGTTTCCAACAGCCTCCAAACACACCCTTTTTTAAAAGTATGACTTATCTTAGTAAAGAGAGAAAATGTAAGTCGATTGGGGGAGTTTTACAACAGCAATTGTAAACCAAGGGCCTAATGGACACGTTTGAGCCTATCATTTACTTTTGCTACTTTGTATAATTTAATTTTATGTGATCTATGATCCTATCATATTTTCTTTTTAAGTAAAATATATTGAGAAGATTAGTTTGAGTGGAGCAATGGCACACAAGAGGACAGCTGATACATCACCTTGAGTTTGACTCCGGGACTTTAATTGTCTCCATCGCTGTACTCTACCAACATTTAAATCAAGATTTAAAATTGTACAACTCACCTTAGGTACAGATGTGTTTACTACGGCAAAGTTCCCTGAAGAAAAATGAAGTAGAAATGTTGTTATGTGTATTGTGGCTTTTAGCTAGAGGACAAGAGTGATTTCAGGGTGCTCATCAGAGTTAGTAAAATAAGTTTATATGCTATTACAGACAGTATTCCTCATTTAGGAATTGGAGAACTAATGAGTTTCTCGTTTTAATATTTACTTTAAAACATGTAATGAGACACTTCTTGCTCTCTCCCTCCCTAAATCCCCAAATTCAAACCTTGTACAAAAAAACCCCACGATAATCAAAAACAATAAAATCAAAGGAAATTTTAAGCTAGTTAAATAAGGTCCTTGAATTATAACACGTAAATGATACACTTACATTTTCTCCTGCCATGGTTTCTAATAATTATTCCACTTTCCAGAATAATGGATGGAGTTATTTTCATGGGGGTATTTTCATTATTCAATTAATAATGTTTACTGAGCACCTAGGATGCATCAGGCAATATTCTAGGTATAGGTATTTAGTGATAACATACACAGAAAAGATCCCTGATCTCACGAAGTCTATGTTCTAAGGCAGAAAGACAATCAACAAACAAGCAGACACATAGATAATAATAGCACATGGTAACAGGGGCCATCAAGAAAATTAATCAGAGTATTGGAACAGAGAGCAGGTCTGGGGAGGAAGCTATTTGAACTTGGACAGTCAGAGAAAGCTTCTCAGAGGCGGTGACATTGCAGCAGATATCAATGTTGAGGAAGAGCCAGCTACAGCAAGATCTAGGAGAAGAATATTCCAAGTATAAATAACAGCAAGGCCTGGGATGGGAACAAGCTTGGTGGCTGCATGAATGGTAAGAAGTTTTTGTGGCCATAGAGTATGGATGAAGAAGAGTGGTAGGAAGCAGAAATGGAGAATCAGTCAGTTGTGGCATTATGTAAACGCTGTGGGTGTTTAGGGTTTAGGGTTTCTTTCCAAACGTGATGGTAGCTAATGGGAGTCTTGGTTAAGGAGTGGTTGTTACAGTGATCTGCACAGTACAAGCAGATACACTAAATTAAAATTAAATATAAAGATGATGGTGGTTGGGTGAGGTGCTGACCGTGTTTTAAGGTCAATTGCTACTGAAAAGCAGAATGTGATGAGAGGAGAGAATTGGCCACTGGATGGAGTAACACGGACACCGCTCATTGTAAGTTAGATGAGAGTGGTTTCAGGGAAGTGACTGGGACAAAAGCCTGTGGGTATTAAAGAGAAAATGGGGCGTGAAAAAGTGGAGACAAAGATGATATAAAACTACTGACGTTTTATAATTTTATAAAGTATACTAGAAGATGTTTTGCTGATAAAAAGAATAAAGAAATAAGAAAGCAGAAGGATTGGGGGATGTCAGGGTAGTGTTTTGGGGTCTTGTGTGTGCATTTAATTTTTGAAATTGGGAGTAATTGCAGCATAGTGGCATATGGATGAGAAACAACAAAAAGGAAGGGAAAATGATGAGAGCACAGAATAAAGAATAATGCCTTAAAGAGGTGAGAGGAATAGGATCCAGTGCACATCTAGAAGGGTTGATCTTTGATGAGAATAAGGATAGTGCGTCCATTATAACAGGATGGAAAGCAGAGTGAGTCCAGAGACTGTCAGTTTTCCAGATTTGGTGGAAAGCTGGGGCAGTTGTTATTTCTTCCATTTTCTTAAGAAGATATCATGGGAGATAAAAAGCTGAGATAGGATTAGATATTTTAAGAGATAGAACAAGCTGTGAATTAATGACCTTGTAGAGTAAGAGCATTTTTAATAGAGAAATGCAATAAGATTACCCCAAAGTGCTGTGCTCCCATAGACTACGCGGGCATAGGATGAAAGCAATTAATATGATTCTATGCTTTTTCTCAGCCACGTGAAAGTACTTAAGTATATTACAGGGCCGGTAGCTTGGCACATAATTGGAGTTTTGCCAGCTAAGTAAATCAATAATTTACTACTGTCTACAGGTCAGCTTAATAAGAAGCCAGACTCCATTGTTAATTTCCTCTGTCACTGTAGCTAAATTTGTAATTTCTTTGTGCTCAGTTTCTTCATGTATAAAATACTCAATGCTTTATTTGTGGAAGTAAACACAAACTAAAATTGGCGAGCATTAGGATTTCGATGGAAAACAACTGTACAGTTTGTGTTTTGCTATCAGACCATCCAGGTTTGACATTCTGCCTTTATCATTTTGTAATTACATGAACAAACTACTTCACTTCTGTCTGTCTCAAATTCTTCTTTCATAAAGTAAGGCTAATAAGAATCATACCTGTATTGAAGAATTCTGCATTAGAAATAACATAAAAGCTACTAGCACATTACCATGTACAACACCTGGCACGTACTAAACAATCAGTCTGGAAGGTCATTAGCATAATGATCATTACTATTAACAAAAGTGTTTAAGCACACCGTAGATTTAATTAAGTTGCTGATCAGTATTGCCTTCTCTCTTTAGGTATTGCAAACACTGTCTTTAACGGACAAAGCGGTGAAATATTATTTAGAAGCAATGGGAATATTACCAGAGAACTCACCAATATCACACTTGGCTTCAGAACAAGGGAGGCAAATATGATGATACTGCATGCAGAAAAAGAGCCAGAATTTGTCACTATTAGCATTCAAGACTCCAGATTATTCTTTCAACTACAAAGTGGCAACAGCTTTTATATTCTGAGTCTGACAAGTTTGCAGCCAGTGAGTGATGGCGTGTGGCATGAAGTGACTTTCTCCATGACAGACCCACTGGCCCAGTCCTCCAGGTGGCAAATGGAAGTGGACAACCGAACACCTCTTGTGACCAGTACAACTGCTACTGGAAGCCTCGACTTTTTGAAGGATAAGACAGACATCCATGTGGGTGGCAGAGCTACTGACAATATAAAGGGCCTTCGAGGGTGTCTAAGTACAATAGAAATCGGAGGCATTTACCTCTCTTACCTTGAAACTGTTGGTGGTTTCACTAATAAACCTCAGAAAGAGCAATTTCTCAAAATCTCTGCACATTCAGTGGTTACTGGGTGTTTGCAGTCGAATGCCTGCAACTCCAACCCCTGTTTGCACGGAGGAAATTGTGAAGACATCTACATTTCTTATCAGTGCTCTTGTCCCTTGGGATGGTCAGGGACACACTGCGAAGTCAACATTGATGAATGCTTTTCAAACCCTTGTATCCATGGCAACTGCTCTGACAGAGTTGCAGCCTACCACTGCGGATGTGAGCCTGGATACACTGGTGTGAACTGTGACGTGGAGATAGACAATTGCCGGAGTCACCAGTGTGCAAACGGGGCCACCTGCGTTAGTGGCATTGATGGCTACTCTTGCCTCTGTTTTGGAAATTTTACAGGGAAATTTTGCAGGTGAGCATGAGGTCCATGTGAAGCTTGGTCCTTGGAGCCATGCTGTACATTATTTTTCTTGTCCACTAGAATGCTCTTTCCTCAAGGTATACATAGATGCTGTGCTGAGCAGGGCTGGCACTGGTCACTTCCATCACAATTTGGCCATGTCAAGACAGGATCTCACATGCTGGGATGTTCCACAAGTAAGAATGATAGTGTTTCAGTCAGACTGTAAACTATCAGACTGTTTTCTCAGTCATCTGTGTTAGAACATCTCTTATGAACTACAGCCCCAGGGACTGCCAGGGGTAAGGTCTCAGGAAACAAATACATTTACAATAAATGCAAAATTTGAATTTTAGTGTTGATAGAGAAGGCATAACTTTTACTGCTAAAATAATGCCCTGGGTTATTTCATGAAGGTAAATATCATAAAATCCTGAAAAAACTTTGTTATAATACATAGTAGACTGAAGTGAGTAGCACCAACCCCTATGCAGTTGAAAATCCAGGTAGAACTTTTGAGTCCCTTAAAACAATTATTAATAGCACACTGTTGACCAGAAGCCCAACCAATCACATACTCAATTAACACATATTTTGTATGGTGTATGTGTAATATACTATATTGAAAAAAATGCTATTAAGACAATCACAAGGAAGAGAGGATAGTGTATTTACTGTTCACTAAGTGGAAGTAGATTGTCAGAAAGCTCTTCATCCCTGCCTTCGTACTGAGTAGGGGGAGGAGCAGAGGAGGAAGAGGAGGGATTGATCTTGATTATCTCAGGGGTGTCAGAGGCAGAAGTGAATCTGTGTACAAGTCTGTGCAGTTCAAATCTGTGTTATTCAAGGGTCAACTGTGATTTCAAAAACGTGAAAGATGAGTTTCAAACAACGTGAAAATGTTTTGATAATTTTGTTGGGATTTAATGAGGGAACTCATAAGACATAAACCCAAGTTCAAAGGACAGTCTAAAGAACATATGGAGGTGTATATGTATTTAAATAACAATGAGGAAATAAATTTATGAATAAACACAACACCGCTTTTCATCCTATAAGGCAACATAGTAAATGTTTGAAATCATCTTTTCTGTGGTGTGACAATCAACTGTATTGCTTGCTACAAATTCATTTGCATTTTGGTGAATATGATTCAGACATATTAATATCATTTCCTAAGACTTACAGGGTTGTAATATAGCTTAGAGAAGAAAATCTAAGGCACACGCCATTATAAAGTCATATATTGCTAAAGGGTCCTATATAGAACCCCTAGCCTTCCATTGAAAGAATACTCAGTCATCTCTTACCCATTTCAAAGTATTTCATGATTTTTTTCTAAAAACTGCAAAAGCCATATTTTAGTTCCAGTGAACCACCTCCATGTCATGTTATATAAACAGAGATAAGAAAAATATTTTCCTTCTAAGTCACATTTCTTCAATATTTCCAAGTCAGTAGGAGTCATTATTGTTTTTACAACTTACACTGCTTTAAATTTACTAAATAATTGAGTCATTATGGAGAGGTGAGAGGTTTATTATTAACAAGTAATACATTCCAGGACTTTGGCACGAACACCTGGACAGGGTTGGCAGCCTGCAGACATTACATTGATTCAGAGGTGGTACCTTAATCCCATGAATCTCCTAGCAGACACAACATGTAGCCACACCTAAAAGAAGTTGTGTATTTCTCCAGAAGGGTTATTGTTTTTCAAAGCCTGGGCAGGCAAGGCACAGTGATGGGTGCTAAGTGATGTCATTGCTGTGAGGTGGGATTTCCCGTGAGTTAACCAACTCATTTAATAATGAGTAACCTTCCTATTTAAAAGCAAGAAAAATTCAGGATCAAAATCAGTTGCATTCCCCAGTGACTCTTGATAAGCAAAATAAACATATAGCCCTTAGTAACTAGTTCTTCAAATTTTTTTCCTCCCAATTCATCAAAGTCAAGTTCTCAAAGACTAAAGTTCTAAAAAGTACCTTCTAATGAGATTCAGGAATTGTTTATTAAACCTAAGATGTATACACAGCTTGATATTTGCATTGCTAATTGACCCATTTCAAAGCCAGTTGACGTTTTTTTGGGGGTCTTTTGAAAAGTTCTTATGATATCTTCTTTTTAAAGTAGAATTGATTAGCTCTTGTGGGAAGAGACACACTTAGCATCATATGGGCCGTTTCTCCAAATTAGCTGCAGTACACCCGACGGTACAAAATTCAATTCCTTTTACTTTTCTTGACTATTTATTACGTATCGGATACCATGCACGTCCACAGCGTGCGGAGGGGCCTGAGCAACACTCCTAAAATCTTTGGAAACATCAGTGCCTTCAAACCGATGGTTTTGTCTTGCAATTAAGTTCTGCTTAGCTTCTAACAATTTGTCTTTTCTTTCGTAAAGATTCTTCAGCATGTACTACTTTGTTGCCATACAAGACAGCTGCACTCTTTAGTCACCTGCAGTTCCCATTGAGTGCTGTATACAAACCTCCTAGACAGCACTTGGCTTGTATTCTGCGAAGTTATGATTTACTGGACTGGGAGCCCTGAGTGTTGGTGGAGCAACCAAAGTTCAGCTCTGAAAGCCAGCAGAGAAATCACATGAGTGCTTGGGTACCAAAGCGCAGTCTTTGCTTTCCTGGCCTTTTATAGAGATGCAATTTTCCTATGGCCTTTGTTGATTTATTAGCAAAGCGGCAGCAAATCCAGCTATAGCAAGCTCTTTTCCAACCCTAAATTTATTGCCACCTCATGGCATAGATCTTATCTCACAAATGAAAACTGTGTAGAAATGGAAGATGTATAGCCAGGCTCCTCCAGCCTGGGCTTTTTAACTGGAGCAAGTGATTCTTGTATCATGCAGCACCATTAAGCATTTGTAGCTCCTCCAGCCCGAGTACTTAATTAGTCTGGCATTGACTACATATATGAATTTATCAAAAAAGTTTTCTTGAATGAAATGAACAAGATGAACAGCTGTGACTGTTAACGTTTACCTCTCTAGGCAGAGCAGATTACCCTCGACAGTGTGTGGGAACGAGAGGACAAATCTCACTTGCTACAATGGTGGCAACTGCACAGAGGTCCAGGCTGAGCTGAGATGCGTGTGCCAGCCAGGTTTTACTGGAGAACGGTGAGTCACGTTAGAACTTTATGGAGGAGAATTCTGGGCTAAAGAACGATGGGATTACTTGAAGTTCATTTTTTTTCCTCTAATTTTTCATCTTAGTTCCCATAGGAAAAACTACGCTGAAATATAAGTCCAGACAGAGACAAACAGTAAAAAAAGAAGAAAAATGATGGTTCAGGTCAAAGGAGAGAACGTTTTAGTAGCCAAGACTTTAAATAGGAAAATATGGTTTTAAAAATGTATAATGTGCTATTTTTCTTTCTGATAAATGTTTCTGGATTCTTGTTTTCTTCTCCACTAACTCTAATACAAGATGCAAATATGGTGCCTGTCGAAGTAAAATAAAATACAACTAAAAGATTGACTCATAGAATTAATTGCCTACAACCCACAAGGTACATACACCTTATCCAAATGATCCTGCCATTCTGAGGAACCTCTTCTCCACCCAGTGCAGGAGTTACTACTATAGAGTTGGTCAATGGCTGGAGACAATCTGTGACCTGCCCAAAACGTGGCAAGTTTTAGATATGTATTTGACTGGCCAAGGGTGAGGTCAAGGGTAGAAGGAATGTACATTCCATGGCTTTTATCAGATTCTCAAAGGATCTAAGTCCTTGAACAGTTGCAAACCAGAGTTCTATCAAATCCAAATATTATATAAACAGATCACTTACCGTTAACCATTTGTCCAGCCCTATGCCATGCCCCTTACAAACATCATCCCTAATCCTTATAGGTCTGCAGAGAAAGTTTTATGATTTTTACTTTGCATATGTATAAACTAAGGCTGAGAAGTGACAGATTAGGTTCCAGTCCAAGTGTGCACTGCAGTAAGGACCAGCTGTTTTCAAAGCCTCTGCTCATCTGTTTGATGTGCCTGCATAAGCAAGCAGATGAATAAATGGTCGCTCAACACGATTTTTTAAAAATGGAAAAAGTGCTTCTCCATCTCATATGCCATCCAGAATAGGATATAATGATCTCCAATCAAACTTTCTACATTGAACAGATTAAACAAATTGAAGTCAAACACATTTGACAAAGAGATTCTCACTGAATTAGTGTTTCCTGCATGGGTAGTTAATAACATCATGGATGCATTTGTGCTCTATGACAATTACACTTTGGACAACTTTGAATTTTCTGTTTTTCAGCTGGCTCTTTTGGTGTCACACTGATACAGCTTCTGGGCCATTTTTACAAAACAGCAGGGAATCTGGGATATACTTGTACTTTCCCCTTCTAATGTTTAATGACAAGTCTAGTCCTTTCTTTTGCAGTCTGCGTTCTGTGATTGCACTATGTGGCCCAGGCAGTCCAGGCATGTGTGTACATGACAGGAGATAGGCTTAAGTTACACGCCTCTTTCCATTGTATCAATTTCTACCATGCAACTTATTAACTTGGAGACCATTCCCTTGGCCTCCAATTCTGCAAAATACTGCAATCCTTTTTGTCCTAAATTTTACTCCTTTAAGTGCTGGTAACTTCCTAGCTGATTGTCACAGTTTCTGCTTGCTGGCACACTGCCTAGAGCCCATCCAAAGATGTATGCCATTTCTCTCTGCTGCTCAGACATTGTCCCTATTTACAGAAAACATTCCCCTTTCTTTTGATATTTATTTGCTAAAAAAAAAAAAAAAAAACTATAGTTGGCATTTAAATTCAAATTATTGATTTCAAACATGATAAGAAAAGAAAGCTTAGAGTTTTCCTTCTCTACCCTAGGAGACTTTTCATCTGGATAAACTTTCCTGATACAATTATTTCTAAAACAGTGAGTCTGTGTTCAATGGATTTTGTATTTTCAAAGTC